ATTTTCAGACTCCTGGAGAAGGTTTCGAGAACGTTCTTTCAGAGGCAGGCTTCTCTGTTTACATCCTTCTCGTCTCTTTCAACCACTTTTGTTTGTAGTATTTTCACCACATGTCTCTCCTGCTGAAGGAAGAGCTGAGTGAAACATACCCCATGTTTTCTACTTAGATGCATCCTTTTATTTTTAATTTTGGGTATTTATCATTTAAAATAACCTGCCTTGCTCTAAAAAGAATGTGAGATGGGGTTGAAGGTGTAGCTCACTGGTAGAGCAAACTCCTCAAAATGTGCAAAGCCCTGGGTTTGCTTCCCAGCACAGAAGATAACTAATTTAAGATGTCTGTCCAAACATCTGAGTTGATATGTGGAGAATTGTCTACAAAGGACTCTTCCTTCAATCCTCCATTAGTTTGTTCCTTAAAGAAACAAGGGAAAAAATCGTGGTTAAGATAGGAGAGTCTTTTGTACCAAAATCTCAGATATTGCCTTTGTTTGAGGAAGTGTCTGCTAAGAACACCTCTTCCTTAAACAGTCCGCAGACAATGCTGTGGAAACCATCATCCAGAGTGGGTCATGGGATCACGAAATTATGTGTGAGACACAGAAATCAAGTCACCTGTTTTTTTCTGGATATGCAGAGCAAGCTCTGAGAGTTTTAGAAACTTGTCCATGGCCACTGGAATCCTTAGGATTTGGAACTTAGCTTAAGAGGACAGGACACCAGCAAAGCTTCAAAATAAAAGCTATTCAAGAAGGAAGGAACTAGCATGAAATAGAGTGGCTTGGTTATTCTGTTGAGAGGGGAGCTGGCAACAAGAGCAGGGTGAGCAGAGGAAGCCCTGATCTGTAGTATTTAACAATTTCATGGTGTCCATACTCAGCCTAAGCCACCCAACCAGTGCCACTGAGCAAGGGTGTGGGACGAGATGAGCACAGTTGAGATGCCTCTTGAAAGTGGCAGAGCTTGGATTGTAATGATCGTTAGGACTTTAGGAGGAAAAGAATAAAGCTAGTTCAGAGAATGGAGCCCTCTCTACTTCAGGGGCTAACGATTATGTTTGAAAGTACAGTTCAAAAAGGAGGAGGGGGTCACTGTGAGGCGTCTCTGTGACTCTTCCCCAAATGGTCACTTCTACCCTCAATGCCAAAGTATTTATTAATACCTTCCATGGAAGCAATTGTCAAAGCCTCACTTGGTATTGTCAGTCAAGTTGGTCCCCTCTGGAAGGTGTGTCTATGTCTTACTCCTTTACTGTCACAGAGTTGGGAGATCTTTCATGATAGGAGCTCAACCTTTCGAGTCATACTGCTTGGCTTCAAGTCCTGATGTTGCATGCAACATCACTTATCCTGCTTGGTAGTATCTTAGAAGTCAGCAAATCTTTTTATAGACTTAGATATCAATGGGGAGGCTAAGTCACAGATTAGCTGTGATGATGAATGCAATCATTAGACGAGTTCAGAACCTGACACATTTCTGCCCCCAATAAACATCATGTGGTCCTGTTGTCTACTAGCATGCAACCCAGTGCCTGCCACATACTGGTGTGTAATTATTGTTGAAATGAATTAATGTGAAACAGACATGATCCTGCTGGTGTGGGAAAGGGTATGTGAGAAAAATCCGTGAACAACTTATTGTTGGGGAAATAAGAATGGCATATTTAATAAAAGCCAGGAGATCATAGAATTATAGGATCAGAACTGAGTTTCCCTGCTGGGGTGTTGTGAACACAGAGGAGGATCATCTGTGCCCCCCTTCACCCCATGTGCTAGACACTGTACATCTATAAATATAATCATCTGTTATCACAATAGCTTTTATAGACTGCCATTGATTGAAATATCTTCTTTTCAGAACAGTTGCTTTTGGAAAAAAATATGAATGTTGGAGTTTCAGAGTAAATAACATTGCATTTTATTCCATTTGTTTCAATCCGTCATTCCAATTGATTTGCGTTTCTTCCAAACTTGATTCAGCAATTTATGTGATATCATCTGTCCTCACTAGGTTATTATTGTCTGCAGTTTCTTGAACACAACTTCAGTTTTGTTCTCTAAAATGCTATATAGGTCACTTTTAAGAGCAGAGTCCCGTGACATGTCACCAAAAACCTCTCTCTTTGTTGGCATTGATTCATTAAACAATCTCTTCTTTTCTTTTGGGATATAGATTTTTTTAAACTACTTTTCAATCTGTCAAAGTATGCAGTAATCCATGTTGTAGTTCATCTTGTTCACAGGAATGTCAGGGGAAACTTTGCCAAAAAGCTCTCTCCACAGCATTGTCTCCCACAGATGCATTAAGTCTATTAGTAAAGAAATTACCACTGTTATTTTTTACCATCTGTCCCTGGCTGACCTATGTTGAGCATCCCTAAATCAAATGACTTCCTTTTCTGAGTCTCATGATCCATGGCACTGACATTGATTAGATAGAGGTAGGCTAGGCTAACACACAGGACTTGAACATGTAGGTGAGACGTTTGGACACAATGCTAAGGACTGAGAGAAGTTGTTGAAATTTTTGAATGGACATGTATGACAAAGTCATGAGGTGTGTGTGTGTGTGTGTGTGTGTGTGTGTGTGTGTGTGTGTAATGTGTGTGTGCCCATGTACATGTATATGTATGGAGGCTGTCAGTGGACAGTGAGTGCTTACTTTATTTTCTTGCCACATTATTTTTGAGACAGACTCTTTCACTGTATCTGAAGTGCTCAAATTAGCCTAGGCTGTCTGGCCAGTGAACTCTGAGGATGCACCTCTTTCTGCTGCCCCTGAGTTGAGATTACACATGCATGCTAGCGATCTAACTTAGGTCTTCATGTTTGTGCTGAAAGCATTCTACAGCTAATCTAATCACCAACGTTCAAAGTTGTGATTTCAGAAAGCCACCTGGAAGCAGTGTCTCGGGGATACCATGTGAGCTCAGAAGTCCTGCAGGAGTCACAAGGCTAGACCTCTCTAGTACAGGCTAGTTGTTATAAAGACACAACAATACAATTGTATTTAAAAGAAAAAAGGTCAAAGGATGTATTGAGGGAAGATGATAGGACTTAAAAATAAATAAAAATAGGCCTTGTAAAGCTTTTCAACCATTCCCACATAATCAAACATGCATAAACTAATATTGCTTTGGCCCCTGGAGTAAATATTCTTGCTTGGGAATGGATGTGATTCAGTGGGTCTCCAGGGCTGTGTCTTTTCTCTCCAAGGCTCTCCATGCATCTGGGAAGTCATTTGGAGATAGCCTTAGCAACATGAGGGGAACAGATTTGCAACAAAATCAAGATCAATAGTTTATTGAAGAGTGAGCAGTCTCCACCTTAGGACAGCTTGTGATTTTTCAACTTTGTGATGACATGAAAGTGATTTGCGCCCAATAGAAACCATGTTTCATTTTATTTTACTTATCTTCTCTATGTGTGCAAAGGTCTGTGTGTGTGTGTGTGTGTGTGTGTGTGTGTGTGTGTGTGTGTGTGTGTGTATCTGTGTTTGGGTATGAATGGTATGGTAGAGGTCAACCTTGCCTGTTGTTCCTCAAGGGATATCCACCTTGTACTTTGAGACACGATCTCTCACTGGGACCTGGGCTCATTGATTAGGCTAGGCTGGCTGGCCCACAAGTCCCTAAGATTTTCCTTTCATTTTCTCCCCAGCATCCAAATGACAAGTGCATGACACCACACCTGGCATTAAGGGAAGTGCTCAACAAGCTCTTTGCCAATCGGCTGAGCCATCTCCCTAGACCCTGTTTTCGTGTGTGTGTGTGTGTGTGTGTGTGTGTGTGTGTGTGTGTGTGTGTGTGTGTCTATATTTTCAATTTGGTACTGGTGATATATGGTAGGTCAAAAGTGTTCAATACATTTTCATATTACATTTTCAAGTTATTATGGGCTTATTAGGTCATAATCCCATCAGAGGTCATGGTGCATCTATACATATAAAGGAACGAAAACATTGGGTTCCATGCTTAATTCTGAACCTAGAAGCAAAAGAGCTTTGGGGATAAAAGCAAAACAGCTAGCACCAGAGTTAATGCCAGAGGAAAACTGTGCAAATGCCAAACAAGGCAGTCTAAGACACAAAATCAGTGCCCATGTTATAAAGATGTACTAAGCAAGGTGGTGGCTATGGGGTCCTAATTTGGCCATGGAAGTAAAGTGATCAGCTTTGTGGGACAAGCTAGAGGGGGGAACTAATCACACTTAAGTGAAGACAGAAGAGGGACCAAAGATGAGAGGGAGTTTGAGTTGGCATTAGGAATGCACACCTTTCCCATTAGAGTCATGACGATGGTTTTTCCTAGTGATGGGTAGCACAGTCTTTGTGGCCCCACACGGCTGCTCACAGAGAAATCTGCTTCATCCCAGGGTGTCTTCTTAGTTCAGCAGGTGCAACTCTGCATTGACACATGCAATTGTCACCAACTCAACCACACACTCTTCTCCAAGCAAGTGATGTCTATATTCCTTCATCACAATGTAACCTTATTTTATTGTAAATCAGAGATTTATAGTTCTATGAACAATTCCCCAGCGAACCTCTGTTATAACTCAGAGCACATCCAGCTACCTCATTTGCTACAGGCACTCTCTTATCTTTCCTAATACTCTTTGCTAATCTCAGGATTATGTTTGTTATTATAGTTGAGTAAAACAAACAAACAAACAAACAAACCCCACAGCCACATGACCCAGGAAAGTGAAGAATTTCATAGCTCTTGATACAGAAGCTATAGGGTTTTGGAGGGTCCCCAGACCATTGTAGGTCCTCATTCAATACTAATTGAGAGGGTAAGTGAATGAAAGGATTACTTCTCTTGAATGAACAGTCATTTCATTTTCAGCATCTGTTTTAGAAAGCATTCTCTCCATTGTGTGCTATGCTGGTATTGGTTTGCCTTTGTTTAGTAGCTTCCGAGACCGTTCAGAGAAGACTGGGGGAGGCTAGGAGACAGTGGTCTGCGGTGGCTGAGCCCTTTTCCATCTCTTGTGCAGGTGGGGAAATGGAAAGACAAGTCTCTTCAGATGAAATATTATGTGTGGCCTCGAATGTGTCCTGAGACCGAAGAGCAGGAGGATGACCATCTGAGCATCGTGACCTTGGAGGAGGCTCCATTTGTCATTGTGGAAAGTGTGGACCCTCTCAGTGGAACCTGTATGAGGAATACAGTCCCATGCCAGAAGCGCATCATCTCTGAGTATGACGCCTCCCTAGATGGGTGGTTATAGGTGGCCTGGGAGAGAGTCAGATGTGCTGTTTGCTGACCTGGAGTTAGGCACCCTGTGAAATTCTCAGCTGCCATTAGGCTGTCAGATCAATGGGAGCTTTGATTGGATGTGTGGCTCCATCTAAAACCCTGACCTGAGACAATGACTTCTCTGTTAAGGTTCCTTTGACCTTGCTCAGCCCCAGTGCCTGGGACCTCAAGTCTGCTGAGTTTTAGGTTTCTTTGGGTGCGGAAATATGTTCTATCTAAGCTATCATTTTGAGAATTAGACCTATTTTTGAAATAATTCCATTTGATTTATGCTGTCAAAAGTTGGGTTTGGAGTATTCTCAGATGAGGGTGGGAAGAAGCATCTCAGAGGGCCAACTGCAAGTCCCTCAGGATCTGGTAGGCACTTTGTACCTGAGTTCAGGTTTTGATGAAAACCATGAACTCAATGAAAAATCCATTCAGCTGAACCTGTAGGGTACATGCCTTTTCCTCGTCTATGTTGTACTTCAAAGGAACATTAAAAAGTGTGCCGTGATATGGCTCAGGATCCCGAGATAATAAAAAATACCACAGTTCTAGGTCTGATCTCTTTCCTTACTCAGGAATAAACTGTACCGTGAGAGAGGAGGTTGAGGTTGGAGTTTTAATGAAAAAGTAATTTTCCTTCCTATACAAAGTCTTGCTTTGATTATTTGTTTTTTTTTTTCTTTAACTGGGCAGGAATAAAACAGATGAGGAGCCAGGCTACATCAAAAAATGCTGCAAGGGGTTCTGTATTGATATCCTGAAGAAAATTTCTAAGTCTGTGAAGTTCACCTATGACCTGTACCTGGTGACCAACGGCAAGCATGGGAAGAAAATCAATGGGACCTGGAATGGCATGATTGGTGAGGTCAGTATCAGGGGCAGGGGCATGACAGAGTCATTTCCATTGTGCACTTACGTTTCGCTTAAACACTGTTAAAGGTTTATCTTGTGAACTTAACAAGATGTAAAAGAGTAACTAGAGAGGAGGAGAAAAAGCTCAGCCAGTAGTGTGCTTGTCTCATAGTCATGAGGACCTGACTTTGATCCCTAGAACCCGAATGAAATTTCAAGTACAATAATATGTGCTTATAATCCCAGTGCCGGGAAGGATTCCTGGGGCATGGTGGCCACCCAGGCTAGCTAAATGGGTGAGCTCCAGGCCAACAACAGACCCACAGAGGAGGGGAATGGTATTCTAGGGATGGTGCCCAAATGACTGCTGAGCCATGATAATTTTGCTTGTGGTAGACCTGCCTTCTATAACATTCTAATTGGAGCATTGTACCTTTTTTTTCAGGTGGTCATGAAGAGGGCCTACATGGCAGTGGGGTCACTAACTATCAATGAAGAACGATCAGAGGTTGTTGACTTCTCTGTGCCCTTCATAGAGACTGGCATCAGTGTCATGGTATCACGCAGCAATGGGACTGTGTCACCTTCTGCCTTCTTAGGTAAATCACATGTTTACTGATGACAGGAAATGGACTCAAGGACAAGTAGCTGGAATGAGAAACAATTGCAGGACATGATTTGTTGAGAGTTTAATTCAGACAGGAAATTCATTTGGGTATACATGGTTATTCTTAAACACAAAAATTAAGAACACCTAGAAATCAAGGCGGTATGTTGCCCTACAAGAAAATACTTGGAGAATGGTAAGGAGAAGTCCCATATAGTCCCTTTTTTATCACTTAATGTTCATTTGGCTTTAAGAAAATGTGCTCTATCCTGGGACTCCATTTTCCTCATCCACAGAATATGGCATCTCAATCAGTTGACCTATAAGACTTCTTTCTGCATTAATAATTTCTAAGTCTAGATATCTTCTGTCTTACTTACTATTCTATTGGTGTAGAGAGACACCATGACCAAGGCAACTCATATGAAACAAAGTCTTTGATTGAGGTCTTGCTTATAAATTCAGAGTTAATCCGTTATCATCATGGCAGTAAGCAGACAGTCATGGAGCTGGAGCAGTAGCTGAGTGCGTTACATCCTGATCCATGGACAGCAGGTATTGAAAGAGAGAGACACTGGGCTTGGAATGGGTTTTTGAAACCTTAAAGCCCACTCCCAGTGACACACCCCCTCTAACAAGGCTACATCTTAATCCTTTTTAAACAGTTTATCAACTGGGGACTAAGCAGGCAAATACATGATTCTGTGGGGACCATTTTCATTCAAACCATCACCTAACTGAAAGACCTATTTATTTTTTAATTATCTTCAAGAATTGAGCTCAGGGCTAACATACATATGAACACCTAAACATTTTCTGTTTTCACATGAGTTTTCTGAGATTTTGCTAGCCAGAGCTCATCTGGCTTCTTCCTACCCCCTTTCTCACCTTCGTCCCTAGTAACCTTCTCTACTTGCCCACTCTCCAGCATCACTCAAATGTAAAAAGGCATTAGATATGATTTAAGACTGGGTGAGATAAGGCCACAACTTCAATTAGATGAGGTCTTTTGTGAGCTCATATACCATATGTGTATATTTTTTTGTTTTTTGTTTTTGGTTTTTTGGTTGGGGCTATGGAGCCAGGGGTTGAAAAATAAAATGTCACCTTGAAAACAGAACATTGGGCTACGAGAAAGCAAACCTTGTCTGGTCATAAACAAGTTATAAGCCTTTGGATTAGTCACAATCACTATAAGGGGAAGAACATTTTTTAAATGAAAATATTAGAAGAGATGATGACTAGTCTTTATTTAAATTCTGTCTGTGATGGGATTAATTCAATTAATGTACCACTAAATGGGATTATAGAGTCTATAAAACTTTACTATAAGTTACTTACATTTCTTAGCCAATCTTCTTACCCATGGTGAAGCATTTTCCAGGAGTTTTATGATAAAGCCCAGAAATGGTTGTCATCCTAGCCTGTGTTCTAGTTCACTCCACAACCTGTAGCCATTGTAGTGGACAGAGATAAATATGCAACATAATATTGTGGGAAACATAGGCAATGTTTCCGGGTACCCTCAGCTCATAACCTGACTGCCACTTTCTGAGCATGACTGTAGAAAGAACCTTGCCCTCTCACACTTAATTTACTGTAAAATAAATATAGCCACCCAATAATGAGAAGCCTATTAGAAAGATTATAAATAATGGTACATGGGGAAGTCCTTTATAAGTTGTAAAAACCAATAAAGATGTTTGGTACATTTGTTTGCAGAAAGTTGCCCTAAGCTAGATGAGGCAGGAATAGGTAGGAGGAGAGAGAAATCACAGATATGAAGCATTCTTTCAATTCTTGGCCAATCATAGAAAAGCGTGAAACCAGGGTGGATTTTCATCCATTATAGTCAAGGGTGGAGGAGGTTTTCCCTGCCCCAGTTGAAGCAGACTCAAATGTACCCTGTAGGTTTAAACTCCTGCTGCCACTGAAAGCTTTGTATTTCACAGTGGTGTGTTAAGCTCTGGGGATTTGTTAAAGTATTTTTAAATTGATTAAGTGACCAGGCTTTTATAATCCCATTGGAAGTTCAATAATAAAGTAGGTTTCAGAGTGGGAAACGTATTTTCTAATTTTCAGCCAACTTCCCCCTCTCTCAACTTCATCTTTATTAATGACTTGGAAGAAGGGGAAAACAGCATGTTAATTCACTTATTATGAGTTTACAATGTGATGTGACAGCTAAAAAGGCCAGAACTATTTTGGGACACAATTGATCGGCACTGTATCATGGGACAGAATTACCATCATCCTTTTGCATCTAAGGCATCATAGAGATGGCTTATTGGAATGTAGTGTTCAGCTTATGGGTCCCTCTAAACCAGAGAGATTTGGCTCAGATGGAATAGATGTAGCAAATACGATGAGATACTGAAGAAAGCATGCACAGGACAGTCTTGTTCTCTCGTCTAGCCTTAGCCCATCAATGCATTGCTTAGTAATAAGAGACAGATTGTAGCTGCTCTGTGATTCACAAATGATGCCTGTTCCCTTGTTCCCTAAGAAATGTCCACCATTGTAGACACTGAGAGTCAATGCAGTTTTTTTTAACCAATTAATGCATACTCTCATATCTTAATGATATCTACTACGATTTACCACAACAAAGTAGGCTGAAAAAGTAACTACAGGCTGGACATTAAGAGAAGTGTGTGGACACAAAAGTGAAGGGGAATGGCTATTCATTGTATGACAGTATTGCCAAACCAACTCAGCTCTAACGTAGTACCTGCATTTGTCAAGAATTTGTCCACAAGACTCCCAAACACTGGGGAAGGCTCCCTTCACAGTATGGCCGTGTTGAGGAGGATGTAAAGCAAGTCAGTTTAATATCATTTACTCATAGCATATCCACTTCTTCCAACTGCACCATTCATTGAAAGATCAAAATTTGGTCAGAGAGTGAAAGAAATTGCCCCCAATAAAGCCAAGAAAGGCTCACAAATCAGATGGGGCCTTTATGTATTTGATAACAGTGATCTTTACATGCCCAGGTGGAAAAGCAGTTGCTTGAGTGTATCTTATGTCTCCCAAATTGAACCCTGGCTCTCTGAGGGCACACAGCACACTTGTGGCTCGCTCCTCCCCAAAGAGGTGTTTGCATGAGCAGATGATTATGGAAGTGATGAGCTGCTTGTTCTGTTTTGACCCTGAGCACTGTTTTGCTTTCCTTCCCAGAGCCATTCAGTGCTGACGTGTGGGTAATGATGTTTGTGATGCTGCTCATTGTCTCTGCTGTGGCTGTCTTTGTCTTTGAATACTTCAGCCCTGTGGGTTACAACAGGTGCCTTGCTGATGGCAGAGGTAAGGCTACGTGGGACTCCTGCATCTCTGCCCTGCCCCTACTTCACAACTCAGACCCATTATACTCATTGTTTGTTACCTGTAATCTCTCTACTTTCTGTGAGGCTGGGGACCATTAGCATGTCAGTGTAGCAGTAAGTACAGTAAGAAGAAAGCAGTGAGAAGAAAGATTGATCATGGAGATGGTTAATATGTGTCTGGACACTATTTGTAAACTGTAAGTTATGGGCAATTTATTGGGAGAAATATGAGGGAAAAGGCAGGCTATATACAAAGAGTAAGATTAAGAAAAATTAGACTGCACAGAGGGTATATGAAAATTATTGTGGCCATTGGAGCTTCCCATAGCTGAAGGGTTACTACAGAGTTACAGGGTCTCCACAACCTGTGTCTTTGGCCCAACCCCCCTCCCAGGGAGTATAGAAGTAGCATGCTTGAAATAAAAAGGCCACAGAAGGCCAGTTCTCACTTGTAGCTACTATAGAATGGGTCTCATTTCCTGAGTAGGTAGGCATCAATAGGGGGAAACTGGTCTCTGTTCGAAGCACTTTTGATACTTTTGAAAACTTCGTTGAACTCTGAAGCAGTCATGAGAATCTGAGAAATAGCTCCTTTAGAACTTCATAGAAGCCCCAGGATTAATAAATATGCTGCTTCTTCTAAATCTTTTCCTTCTAGAATTCTAGTTATCCTGGAATGTACTTCCAAGAGGACAGGTTCTTCATCTTAGGTATTAATAAGAATTGCAAAATGGGCACTTAAAAGACAAAGGTGCTTGGACCTAGTCTGCTGATTTACTAAACCTAGGATGAGGCTTAGACATTGTATGTTTCAAAGTAGTGGTTATTTACCTTGGTCTTATTAGAATAGCCAGATTCCCCTGGTATCTGTTTAATAAGAACCTCTAGGGTGGTCACCTGGCAACAGTGTTCAGTAAACATGCCATTCAGGCTTTGGTGGGATTCAAAGTCCAAACTTCAGAACTATTGCTTCACCAGTGGACTTCCAAGTTTGGTATGTTTTCTGAGGTGGAGTTCTCCATGTCTCCACAATATGGTGTGGTCATTGACTTCCCACCTATGCTAAAGGCTAGCTAGCTGCAGTGACCTATATTCTAACCTGAGAGGTTCTAGTGGGTGAACCATATGAGGATCCCAGAAGTGTAGACAAAGGTCAACATTGTTAAGAGCCAAAAATAGGGTAGACCTTTCCCCCTGGAAAAAAAATAGAAAACCAGAACACAAAAATTCAGATTTACAAACATGTTACTTTAGAATGCTTCTCTTTACAGAGGAATCCAGCTCTGTTCCACTCTAAGTATCAAGTCTCCTTAGACCATTGCACAGTTTGCAAAATTTTGCTTGGTAAACAACTTTCTACTTGCACATCTATTGTATGAAGTCAAGTCCATACGCACAGATGTATGTGCACAGATAGATAAGTTCAACATGAGCACATGCTGTCAGCATCACAGCAAACATTCCAAGGCCTTTGTTAATAGATTGGAAAACTCTGTGGGTAGAGATTCATTTCTGTAGTGGAAGTGTGCACAAAGATTCAGCTAACACACAAGGTCTCTCCCTCATCAAGCAGGGACAATAGCCAAGTCACCAATCACTTATGGGCAGAAGCCCTAAGATCAGATAGAGGGACATATGTCAAGAACAGCTACATTCTTGATGTACATGGCCAGGCCAAGAGTCAATGGTCTCTTAGCTGGGCTTCCTTGTACAGAAGCTGTGGCTGCATTAGGCTAGTTGGGAAGGGTTGGCATTGGATGAGTTAGGAGAATCGAGGTCATTTTTAAGATATCAGCTACTAAGGAATAGAAGCTAAAAAACACTTAGCCAAAAGTGCATTCAGTCATCCAGCACTGGTGAAATTCAACATGGATTTCTATGACAATGGTAGAAAGGGATTCACACAATTCTTGCTGATATCTTGGAAGTTAAAATACTTCCTTGATAGATATAATGGTAAATTTTAAGAAAAATGGTCAATGTGACCGTATTGGCATAGTTGGCCATTGTTACCCAACTTTCACCCAAAAGATCTTGATGGCCTATTGTATGAAGGTGGAAAGCATTTTATTTGGAGAAAGCTCTCCCCACACCCTAGCGCTCTGGATTTTCTTCTAAGAAACCCTCTTCTGGCTTCCTCAGGCCCCCAGGGGAGACACATGCTCTTGAATTGTGAAACTGTCATTAAAGGGGTTTCCGGCTCTTGCCAGGGAATTTCCAGCTCTTATAGACTGAAATAGATCCAATTATTCAGACTTAAATTTTTCTCCCTGTCTTTTGTGTCACACCAGAGCCAGGCGGCCCATCTTTCACCATTGGCAAAGCAATTTGGTTACTCTGGGGTCTGGTGTTCAACAACTCCGTACCTGTGCAGAACCCAAAGGGGACCACCTCCAAGATTATGGTGTCAGTGTGGGCCTTCTTTGCTGTCATTTTCCTGGCCAGCTACACTGCCAACTTAGCAGCCTTCATGATCCAAGAGGAGTATGTGGACCAGGTTTCTGGCCTGAGTGACAAGAAGGTAAGAGACCCATTTAAAACTTGCATTGTTCTCTATCCTGTCCTTAGCCATACTCAAAGTTCTCATGAACCTGGTAATTTTCTAAATGTTTAGAATCAATAGCTCTTTCCTGTGTTTTCTTCAACTGGGACATAGGCACAGAAGCTGGATTCCCTACTGAATTAATACTCCTTCACACTTGCCTTCTGATTCGTAAAAGGCTGTCACAAGGGCGCCCTGGGCTGCAAAATAAGGGGCTTGGTATGCTAGCAGGTTCTCTGAGTACATAGTTGCTCTTGTTGGATGCAGTTGGGTAGCCTCTCAGCTCAGGGCTGCCTGTTTGCTGTGTTATTAGAGGGCTGCCCCTGTGTACCCACACTGGGGATACTAGAGCTTTACACCTCATTTTCTTCCCGATGGTGTTGGGCTGTGGGCTCTCCCTTTGTTCCTCTGCATACTCTCATGTTCCTAGGCCTGGGCGGGAAGGTTTTTCACATTGTAGCCTGAAGAGAAGTGCTATTTAGCGCATGATTGCCCCTGTGTGGCACAGATGAGTGGGTTGCCCCCTTACCAATGCAGTCCTCCCCACCCACCTGGCAGTGGGAAGGGGAAGGGAGGTATCTGGTACTTTCCATCTTTCCTAGCTGAGGAATACCAAAAAAAAAAAAGAAAAAAGAAACCTGCTAATGCATGGGATCATGTAGGTCACCCTGAAGCATGTCAGTTTCCATGGGAGATTTGTCCCCTAGAAATGCAACAACCATGACGGTCTGAGACTAGAAAGGCTGTATTTGCAGAGTGTCTGGGGAAGTTGAAGACCAGAGCATTTTACATTCTTTCACTTACAAAACTTTTCCTATTCTTTAGTTCTTTAACATTTAGAAAGTGTCACTTTCCATTCCCACTTCCAGGATGAAGCCCTGAGATAAAAGGCAGATGTGTTTTCAGACCTATGGGTAATGGTTTATCACATGGGTGGGGATCCCTGTGAGAAGTTACTGTCTTGACTCAGGGGCCAGTTCCTCCATCCACTCCTCTTCATTCACCAAGAATTCTCAGAACCGTGTGAGAAAGAGGAACAGTTCCTTAAGGGAATTGTATGGTGTTTTTTGTTTGTTTGTTTGTTTGTTTGTTTTTGTTTTGTTTTGTGTGTGTGTGTGCCTGTGCATATGCATGTCTGTATGTGAGTACATGTGCATATGTGTCTGTGTGTGAAAGACATACTAATACACTATATTCACTGTTTATATGTGATATATTAAATGTTTTTAGTTTGTCGAATTTTTCTTCCTTTTTGCTTTATTTTTCTTTTAATTATTAAATTATTTTGCTTTATTTTTATTTAAACTTAAAAATGATTTCTCTTTCATGTATATTTATCTCTCTTCTTAAAGCATCACATATTACTCTAACTCATAATTTATTGTGCATTTATTTATTAATCCATTTACTACCTGATTCATTTTTAGACCGTTCCCTTGCACGTGATTCTATCAGCAGCATCTGTTGCCACTGTCTTAGTTAGGCTTTCTCTTGCTGCGGTGAAACACCATGACCAAAAAGCAAGTTGGGAAGGAAAGGGCTTATTCGACTTATAGTTCTACATTGCTATTCATCATCAAACATCAGAGGAAAGTCAGGCCAGGAACTCAAGCAAGGCAGGATCCTGGAGACAGGAGCTGATGCAGAAGCCATGGAAAGGTGGGGCTTACTGGCTTGCTTCACCTGGCTTGCTCAGCCTTCTTTCTTATAGAACCCAGGGCCACCAGCCCAGGGATAGATAGCACTACCCACCATGGGCTGGGCCCTTCCATATTGATCACTAATTGAGAAAATGCGTTATGGCTGGATCTCATGGAGGCATTTCCTCAACTGAAACTCCTTCCTCTCTGATGACTCTAGTTTGTGTCAAGTTGACACCAAACCAGCCAGTACCAGTACAGTCATTAAGGAACTAAGTAGAATTTGAATTAGACAGCTTTCATCACTCCTTGCTACCAACCTCCATCACTGCCTTCACTTGGACTTGGTACAGATCAGGTAGGCCATGCCTACCAAAAACCATGGGTGTACCAGAATCTCTCAGGGCTCTGCTGCCATGTGTAGATTTGTCAGAGGTATGGTACTCTGTCAGTGTCACCAAAAAGTTGGCCAAATCATGGGAACATGTCACCTTGCATTGATTTGGAAAAGGTGTAGTGAATTAAGTTCCCAAGCATAAATTGTTTATGTCTAACAAGTTCATGTGCATCACCATGGCAACAGAGTGGTGGACCTCAGTCTTTTTGAGACTGTCAGTTGATATGTGATAATACTCTACCATATTTGTCTTATTGTTTTCTTCAAATGTATCTGAAAATAGCTCCCAACACTGTATTTATCTCTCTAATACCTTCATTTTACCCAGAGGCAACTTGGAATGTGTTTATATTTGAACTAAAAATAGTTGACATGGGGAGGTTTCCTTCCCTTATGGCCATCCTAGTCTAAGACATTGAATCACATCACTTCTTTTACATATAATAAACACAGCTGTTTGCCTCTCCCCACTAATGTGGCTTCCATGCCCTTTATTAATGACCACCAGCTCTCCAGTATCTCTGGCCAATGCTTGTATCCTGCATCACTGACATCCTTAACTCCTCACCATTCTTGACCATGGCTTGATCCAGTCATCTGCCTAGGAAATTTTTCTTCCCAGTTCTCACTTACTAAACTCCTACTTAAACTGGTTCAGATTAGAGATTAGAGATCCTTCACTTGTAGAACTCTCCCTAGGCTCATCTGGGCAGCTCATCAGTCTCCCCCTTCCAAGACAATTATTCAGGCCTTTATTATAACACATCTTCCATGTTCTATATGCTAATCTGAAGACTTGTGCACAATAGTATTTCTCTTTGACTGTGAATCCTACCATCAGTGACATTACTTGGTCATTACTAGTATAAAAAAAATAGGTCCACGTGAGAGTAGAGAGAGAGTCTGTGTATTTATGAGCCTCCTGTGCCCACAGTGGACATGACACTATAGAAAAAAGAGCCACAACACAGCAGGAGCTTTTAACAGCTGCTTAATCTGGAAATGATTGAAAATGGTTATCTGATGTATTTCAGAACGTTGCAAGTGACAAAATAGTAAATTACAAGCATCCTACCAGAAAGTGTCAACATAATCTACATAATTATAGAAAACATTTAAGTGACTAATGACACATGACTGCATATTAGTGTCAGGAACAGTTGTAAAAATCATAGGAGAGTGTTTTGAAAGTGTACTTAAAATGTCAAAATTCATATTAGCTTTACTTCAAAACACCTAAAGAAAACAGAATCTTGGACTAGCATGGAAATGCATGTGGGGAAGCATATTATTTGAATTTAGAAAAAGAAAAATAATATACATATTGAAACAATATTATTGAGAGCAGAAATGATCTTTCCATCAGGGAAAGTAACATTTACAGTAGAGAAGGGTTCTGAAGCTTGTTCGGACTATCTGATGACATATCATCTGTGTCACTCAAATCAAATGGTGGACATCTCAGGGCAACGATGGGAAGATATCTTTAGCTCTGACATTTATAGCTAAAAAATAGTCATCAATATTTGGGCAGAAAAAAGTGCACTGAGATTTCATTTGTTATTGATAAGGACACCTGCTCCTGTGATGTTCTTGCTGCATGCCTTCCCTTTGATTAGGGTACACTGCAGTGAACCCTGAATGACCACATGATGTAATGAAGTGTGGGTGCCCTACTGTACATTCCTTCAGATGCAGAGGTGGGAATGGAGTGTAAGGCAGTTAGTGGCATCTTTGTCCCTGAACAGTGAGCCCACGGTACTTGTTCTTATGTCTCTCACCTATCCAGATGGACGTTCCATTTTGCTGTCTGCCAAACATAGTACGAAGGGGAAAGATCTCCACCCACCAGTATTTGCTGGGTACTAGGTACATTATCTTTACCGCATCTGTGTGTGCTGTTTGTATAATCTTGCGTCTAGTGTGATTACTCCCATTTCCCATGAAGACACGGCAACTCTGAGATGAGCTGAAACTCCCTGAAGTCACACATATCAAGTGTGACAGAGCCAAGGTTGAAGCCCTGCATATCTCATTCTAAAACCATCTCCTAGGATGTTTCCCTTGTAGGGAATCCCAGGCAAAGTTATAACACGGATTAAGATTAATATATTAGTTTTTTTTTTTTTTTACAGTAGTGACAAAACAGTTAACAAAAGGACCTCAAGGAAGGCTTTATTCTGGCTCATGGGAAGAGATGCAGTCCATCATGGTAGGGAAGCACAGCATTAGGAGTATAAGATAGCTTGTCACATTATTTCCGCACTCAGGAGCAGAGGGCAGACAGGAAGTGGGGCGGAGCTGTGGCGCCTCCATCCCCGCCCTCAATAACTCTCTTCTGCCAGCAAGGCACCATATGCTAAGGGTCCCCAAACACTGCCACCAGCAGCAGGGGTATATGTTGAAACAAGGGATCCTGTGGGAACCATTTTACATTCTAAACACAGCAGTTCATGTGGCCACCCCTGCTTCTACTCTAGTTAATTGTAATTTAGTTCTCTACCCTTTCATTAACTAGCTGTTTTGGGTCCACTTAATCCAGCTTTCCTAGGGATACATTATATCCACCACTGTTCTTACTACTGCTGATAAAGATCATCATTGTTATTATTACTGATGATACTCCGGCAATATCTTGGCTAACACTTTTTTTTAAGCTCCTTTTAAGCCAGGCATAATGCCAAACACATTGCAGAGACAGTCTTGCGTAATGGTGTCATTAATATCTTTATTTGCAGATGAAGCAATTGGAGCTTAGAGGTTAAATAACTTGCCCTTACGATATTCTTGGCTGACTGTCACCCCCCACCAGTGTGCCACACTATTTAGACCATGATGCTTTTTCTGGTTAATCACCCTTTTCCTACATCCTCCATATACCTTGTCAAAGTTTAACAAGCTAAATCATTTCCCTGTACTAAAAATTAAGCTATCTAATTAAT